CGTGACCACACATACTATTCATTTGCGTGTAAATTTCATGTGTACTTCTGAGTGGATTCTGTTTATGTGTGGTCAAATGAAAATCATGTGGAATTTCACATGGATATTTGTCAAGAAAAATGTGTAAATTGTTTTGAGTCAACCATAACGGAAACATTGAAATACTTGAAAATTTTAAGATAAAGTATAATATTCAAAAATGCATGAAAAACATCAATTTTGTGTGGTTCTACGTCATACTGCGGTCGTGTCTAGGACACAACCCTTTAATTTTTTATTGGAGAATTTACTTGTAAAATTCCACATGATTTTCATGTGTCCACACATAAACAGAATCCACTCAAAAGTACACATGAAATTTATTAGTCAAATGAATAGTATGAGTGGTTACACATGAATTTTCATTAGCATACTGCCGTTATACGCATAACTGTCCCATGTTCTATGCAATTCTTATGCGCCGTGAGAATCTTATGCGTATAACGGCAGTATACAGGTACAACAAAACCAAAGATAGATGGAAGATATAATTACGTATTAGGGTGATTCAAAATATCGATTTTGCTTCATCAAGCTCAATCGATTCTTATTTTAAGTCCTGATCATTCTCCCAACATTTTTTAGCTCAATTTCAAGCTGAACAATGCATTTGGTCCTAAGTTACATTGACAGATTCGTCGATTTTCTCTTTGTATCCCTACTGGCATGTACTCTGAAATGGCCAAATAACATATTCTCATTATATGGAAATGTAATAAAATTTTGCTATTATACCCCGTACAGACTATGGCTTACATGGTAAAAAGCACAAACGAAGTTACAGACGACTTTCTCCGAAGAAATTAATTAAAATAATGTGGTTCTCTGTAATAGAATTTTAGACCACTTTCCGCCGGTCACCGCCAGGTTCGCTAGTATTTTTGATTTGAATTAATTCAAGTTGGTTTTGTGTGCAATGATCTGACAACTCGCGTTGACGGTGTGCTGTTTTCTCACTAATCGAAGGAAATTTTGATTAGAGTGAGAAAGTAAGGAACATTCAGCGCGGGAACCGTGTGCGGTACTATAGGTGCGGCAGAAAGAATGTAGTCGACTCCTTTGTTCTCACGGTGTTCTTACGCATGGTCCAACGTTACGTCACACTAGATTATGCATAAGAACATCGTGATAATGAAAGAGCAAAGTTTGTATGTTTGGGAGCCTCTCGCATTCAACCCCCATTCCCCCACCATCCGATTGAAACGGGCCAGATGAAGTGGGTTTGTGTAATTGAATTAGTGATTTCAAGCTGAACATTGCATTATGTCCTAAGTAACATTGACAGATTCTCTTCGTTGAATTTTTCTTTGCATCACCACGGCCATGTAAAGACATTCCCCGGTATTTTTAGCACACAGATCGATAAAAGAAGCTTTTGTCTAGCATCTAATACGACAAACACATCAATAAACGGTTATGTGATAAAGTTATTTACGAAAGAGAAAGTCGACGAAGATAATCGATCAATGTTACTTAGGACCTAATGCAATGTTCAGCTTGATTTATTAGCAAAATAACCGGCAGCAGCAACATCAGAGTGGCAATGGCGAACATGTGTATCAGTGGTCGGTCCGAATGTGGTTTCTCCCCGTCGTCGTGGTCCGTCCCGTTCTCCTGGTAGAGAACGAGCTGTGGGATAGAAACTAATGGGCTAGCTTTAGACTCTAACGACCGATCGGTATCGACACGGAAACGGTAGCTTCGAGGCCGGGTCAAAAATCGAAGTAAATTTGACAACGTCTTTCACCTGCGGAGTTATTGTTCGAGCGATACACAACGTGCTGCTTCCGACTGGCACTTTAATTTTATTGACTGTTAATTAGAACATCGTCGTCGGTTCTTTCCTTAATCTTCGATAACGATGTTTGGTATCAATTACTTCGGCAACACAGGTCATTATAAGGGCACGTCTTGTCATGTCGGTTGCGGTTGCCGCAGTGTAGGTGGAACGGAACATTAACCTTATTTGTAGGAGTGGTCCTTTGGCCCTATCGATGACGATGCTCGGCTTGGGTGCGTATGTGGCTTGGGTGGAACATTAGCATTGGCTTATCGACATGGATCGGGAGGTGTTCGTAGCTTGCTACTCGTAGATTACGACACTCCGATACGTTGATGGTCATCAAGCCAAAATAAATACACCGATAACTTTCAACTGCAGCATAAAAACAACAAAACGGAGGAAGCTCCCTTTCACAATTAATAATTAATAATTATTATCATCAACCGCTCTGCAGGAACTCCTTCGGGGATCAAAGGACGAAAACCGCAAAAAATGGGATAGAAATTTTGATCCTGCGCCAAGAACTATTTACTCGAGGAAAAGCCGACAAAACAGGAAGTTCGCTGTTGGGAAACATAAATTTTTTTTTTTTGTTTATTAATTTATTTGATAAGGCTCAACCGAATTAACTTTACAGAGCCGAGGATTCTTGGTCACTATACAATAGATCTTAAAACTATAGTCAAAAGGTACAACACAATAAACACTTTATCTTCCGCTATCCAAAAAGCCTCCTCCATCAGAACTGGAGCCGCTTCCAGTGGTTTCATTATATGGCAAATTGTTGTACGCCAACGAGGGTCAGAGCGCGTCCATTGCAGCAATGGACGCAAAACGTGGTCAGCACTCACACACTCATCACGAAACGGTTGCTTTCCAAAGTCGACGACGCATCGACCGAAAGAACTGCTGATGAAGAACAATGAGGAGGACCACACAATGGTTGCTGCCGAGAAAACAGACGATCGCGTAGCACACATCGAGAGTGGCCTGCTTTTGTCGACAGCCGAGTGAACACTCGGGAAACATAAATTGTAGCACCACTTGCGAACCTCTTCGTTTTTGGAAGTAAATTTCAAGCACAGTCTGACGTTTGCTTATGGATTTTACCATAGGAGTAAAGAGCTATATAGATTCGCCGTCAAAGCCAATAGCATCAATTATATACATGATTCTTTGACAGTGTGCAAAGAGTGCGTATCATTTTGTCATTTTTTTATGCATTTCAGTTTTGAGTAGAGTGAAAGAGATAGAACCAAAACATTCTAATACATTTGGTGAAAATGCTAGTACAATCCAGTAGTAGTGTTGCCATGTGGTACAATCCAGTAGTAGTGGTGTTGCCATGTGGTACACTGAAAAATTGAAATAGCAGGTTAGTCACCAAAGTTTTCGAGCCGCTCCGTCTGTCACTTCGTTTGTGCTACCAGTGTGGCGCCGGAGCTCGTTCGGTGTTGCTATCACGTTCGTGCTGCCCATTGCAAAATTTTCATCCGATATTTTTTTAAAAACGCGCGGTCTCCGGCGAAAAATATAAGCCTACCCGACACCAACCTGACTTCTACCAAACCCCAACCCGATGTTGGCCCGACATTGACCCGACATAAATGCAAAATTGACCCGACATCGACCCGACATTTGGCCGACGTCGACCATAAATTGACCTTACATTGATCCGACATCGGGCCGACATATCTGTTCGGGATCATTCTTCTGGGTTTCTTCCATACTCCACTGCCGTATATCAATTGTATATAATGTCTCGTGACAGCCACTTGGGTAAACTGAGGGATGTCGTCGATTTGTGAAGGCTGTTATGACGACAGAAACATTGAGAACCTGGTCATAAAGAATTGTATAAATACAGCCCATTCGGTTCACTACGTTCCAAGCACGATGATTTTAGCAAAGCGGGTATAGATGCGACTGTTCTAATACAGCTTTCATTCGTTCGTGCGTGCGCTGTTGCCAATACACTTCGAATTCAGATCTGAACGTACGGTAGCAAGCGGCAGTAAAGCACACAAAGCAACAGTCAATTCAGGTATAAACCAACTGTCGCGAGGAGGCTGTACCATAGAGGTAACTCTAAGACTAGTAGGTCCCGAAGAAAATCATTATTATTTTTGGCTCACTCAGTACCAGAACAACGGTCCCAAGCAGTCCCAAGCTATTTCACTCACCCCTGCATGTTCTGCATGAATCCACACACCCCTGATGTTATCTGTCAAACTTTCATAGCGAATCAAAACAAACATAGTGTAGTAATAGAATTTCAACTAGAATAGGGTACGTTAATCGTTTGCTTGGGACCAATAGGCTACTAAAGTGGTGAGCCAATTTAAAATCGTTAGTTTCGTATTGATTGTTGGCTGTACTATTTGGAAGCCTGGTCCCAAGCTAGTCGATTCACCCCTCGAAACATAGAAAAATCCACTGACCCCTTATTTTATCTGTCAAACTTTCATAGCAAATAAAAACAAACATTGTGTAGTACTAGAATTTCGACTAGAATGGGGTACGTTAATCGTTTTGCTTGGGACCAATAGGCTAGTCAAGTAGTGAGCCAATTTAAAATCGTTAGTTTCGTATTGATTGTTGGTACAACTGGTACAACTGTGCATGACAACGATGCACGCAGGTATAGAACACCCGTTTAAAATACTGAAATGCTAAGGTAGAAACAATGTAAACACACTTAGATATATATCATAACAATTAAGGCTGATAACCCTAATAAAAAATAACCATACACGAACGATAACCCAAATCATTGAACTATTCCATAAATGGTTTGGATGATACCCAGAACACGTCGATAAGCAAATTAACCATACAATTTTTATTAGGGAAGTTAGTGTAGTAGCTGGAGCACCTACACTGCTAAAAAAAGTAGTGTAAATTTCCGTTACTATGATGCACATAAATGGAGCGTCATATATCATGCAAGTTTATATTATAAATCGTGTAAATTTATGAAACATGTCATGCAATATACCATATATTGTATGCAGCTGTCCACCATTGTTTGCCATATTTCTTGCAAGCTGCTAGTTTACGTGAAAAGGAAGTTTACATGCATGAATGTTTGCATGCATGGATGTTTACATCACCAGTAATATTCTGATTTTTTTAGCTGTGTAGGTTATAACATGAATATAAATTGAATTGAAGTGTTTTATTGGTTCATAAACGGCATCATTAGCTTCTTATGAGCCACGGTCAAAGCGTCCGTCGCTGGTTCATGCACACCGGTAAACACATCTAAGATCGTATTTTGACATTCGTGAAATATCATATGGCACGGGGCACCTTCCCTGCCTAGTTGTTCCGCTCGGTAATATTCGTTGTCACTGTGGTCCGAAAGGGGCTCCGTCGTGGATGATGGCCTGCATTATTGAAGAATTTCAGTTATTTCGACTACTTTGGAAAAAAAAGCACTAGGAACTTACGTGAACATTATATGAAGCAATTCGGCAAATACTCCACCGGTATGGGTAAACTCTGCACTTGCTGCTTCACAGATGCTCCGCAAAACACATTCCCGACCTCCGGAACCGTAGATTGCTCCGATCTGCTCCAAGGCTTTGTACGTCGTCCAGCGCGATTTTTCCTGATTGTATCCTTCGGCTACTATGGGATCTGCTTCAACAGGCGGAGACTGCTTGTTGACATCCTCTACCATTTTCATCCAATAGTCGTCGTCGGCATCCTCAAAGTTGTCATCGTCATCTGGCAATGGTTCCGTATCAATCTTTACCTCCCTTGCCGTGTACGCTTCGTAGTGCTCCGGTAGCGGTGTGACGGTAACAGCTTCTCGCTTCTCGATCGATCTTCGGCTGTTGTTCCAGCCGTCCCAAAGAATAGGTTTCAGATCGTCGGTGCTGGTCGGCAGGAAGTATTGTGCCTTGACTACCCATCCAGTGATGACGGACTCGGGAGTTCCCAGTGGGATACCGATACCAGTAATGAGCTGATGGCGGGTGGGAGCCGTTGGCGGAAATATTAACCATGGATACGCGTACGATCGAACCTGTCCGGTTATGAGGAATATGTGGATTAGCAGAAGCTCTATGGAGCTAAAGTTTATCGTTTGTGCCATTTTTCGGTGGTTCGGTGAGAGGTTAGTATTTAACTGGCTTCGCTGTGAATTACAACTAACACGGTGGTGGTTCATTGGAAATGGGACTACGCTACTTTCGAGGGTCGAAAAAAGCGGTTATTTGCTTTCATAATTCCCACCTTCTCTTGGGGATTTTTGGGGATCCACCTCAACATGAGTCTTGTCGCAGGTCTAATGCGAACACCACCCGAGTAAAAATATTGTCAATACTCTAAAGTAATGTCAATAATATTTATGGATATCGTCCCATCAATGCAAGACAAGAACTAGATATCTCGACGTGTCACTGTTGATATCAAATTTAATAATATGCTGAAATACATACATTTAAAATATTATACACATTTTTCTTTGGCTTACCCCTCGTGAAGATAAACAAATACAGTGGTAGCCTTTTTGTCCGTAGATGCGCTTTCATCGCTAAAAATTCGGTTCGCCAGCTAAGCGAAAGAGTGGATGATATTGTTAATATAATATATTTGTAATAAGTCAAAAGAGGCAGTAATTAGTACTTTAGTACTTAAAACTAACCCCATTTATAATACTAACACTTTTGAAATAAAGAATGGAGAAGGATTGGAAATTTCCAATTGAATCCACTACCTTAATTCAGGCTTGCTATTGCTCATTGCTAAAATGTTATTATTCGGAACTATGCAACTATGAGATATTATAACGATATTTTTTTATTTTGCAAGATGCAGGAAAAGAAGGTATACTATAAGCGGGTATAGTTTGTGTATGACACATAAAACCTGTCAATTTCGCTTTCAGAGTGTCACAATTAGCAATTAGCTATAACGATGAGCGCTCACTCATCGCGATTGCTCATTACAGCTAAAATTACTAATAGCGAATTAGTTTATTATCGGGGTTGGAACCAGTGCGAAACCGAACTTTTTGTCAGAGCGAACCTCAACCTGAGCTGGGTTTTAAAAACAAACGATCAAACTGACGTTTTTCAGAAAACAAGCAATCTTGATACCCGATCCAGGTTGGAACTGAATAATAAACGAATTCGTTATAAGTGTGACCTTCTGAAAGCATAATTGACAGATTTGATGTGCGTCATTGTACTGAAATACCTACTTAAACTTCAAACCAAACATTGGAGTGGTATAAATAGTCAACCGTCAACTGCGGCACAAAAGAAAAGAGTTCTAGTGCTTTTTTTTTTAGTGAAAACCGAATCTATTTGTAATTTAAATCATTGACAAACTACACACGCCTGTACCGTTAAGAATATTTGACACAGTTTTTACTTATCGACCCCAACATATCCAAATCTAGGTAGAAGAAAGTGTACATAGTATTGACACTTCTACTATTCTCTACTGCTCTCCCGTTTCTCCCATCCTTCGAAGCCGCTCTAATTGATGCTAATTCAACCCCTTCAATGCCGGCTACCGCCCTTACTCGAGGCAGTTCACCAGTTGTTCCCGTTTTGCTTGCACCTCATTCCTACAATCCAACTCACTGGAACATCTGTCGTCTTCGAATCTCTGGCAGTGTTGTTGCATCCGTCGTTGGCACCAAAACATGCCACGTTGTAAGAACTATCATCCGTTTGGGCTTCTTCTATTGGAAATTGTCCTCGCTAGTGCATCGGCTGAAAGTAACGAAGCAAGGTTTTTAATCGTCCCTCCTACGTCCCCTACTCGTCATCAGCTGATTTGTGGTATCGGTATCCCGCTAGGATCTCCCGAAGCCGTTACATCGGGATGGGTGCTCAAGGCTCAGTACTTTCTTCCGACTACGGTTGACGAACTAAAGCCTCTCAATTGGGCGGGTTGGAACGATAGTAGACGGTCCATTGAGAAACGGGAGGCAGTTACCACAACTCCACTGGCTCACTACGAAGGTTATACGGCTAAGGATGTACAAATTGACGTGGAACCACTACCGGAGGAAAGTGAACAAGATGACTACATCGAGGACGGTGACGATGACTATTGGCTAGATGAGGAAGAAGAGAAAACATTCCAGGAAGTCAATGAGATGCTACCTCCAGCTAGTGCGGAAGCTGAGCCATCTGAGGGATACAATGCAGAAGGGTCGCGGTGGGCTACGTACAAGTCGTTGGAGCATATCGGTGAAAGCTACGGTTCCGGAGGACGGGCATGCGTGCTTCGAAGTATTTGCGAAGCAGCAAGCGCGCAGTTCACCCACACGGGAGGTGTGTTTGCGGAGCTTTTGCATATTATTTTCACGTAAGACTTGGTGGTGGTGACTTTGCACTCGTTGCATTCTGGATGGATGAAGGATGAGTAACATGAAATGTAATCTTTTAGGCCATCGACCACAATGGAGCCACTTTTGGACCACGGTGACAACGAGTATTACCGAGCGGAGCAGCTTGGCAGGGAAGGTGCCCCGTGCCACGTGGTGTTTCACGAGTGCCAGAATTCGATCCTAGATGTGTTTACCGGTGTGCATGATCCATCGACGAACGCCCTGATAAAGTGATGCAATTGTTTATGAAATAGAATGGCTATTTAGCATGCATGGGTGGAGTTTGTATGGCGGATCACAACAACCCTGCTCCCCACTGCTCTTTTGATTTGTATTGAAGTCCCCAACAGCTGTGCCAAATTAGTTGGGATCTGGATTTGCAGCAGAAATTTAAAGCTTGTTAGTCAAACATTTGCTAGTCAAAAATTAAAAAAATACTCAATTTTGACCAAACCTCAGGCTTAGACTGGGAAAACTATGCGGAACAACTTTCTCGAATATCGCAAATTGTCCACTTTGTCAAGCAGTTTTGGCGTGACTTTCTACCCTTTCTACCAGCGATTTCACAAAACTGGACCAAATAATTTATATTTTTTTATGAAACGCACACGGCGAATGAGAACGACTCAAATTTGAGTTTAGTTCACTCATAATCGCCAGAAGTGCAGGAACTCAGCGATGAGTAAAATTTGTCTCATGTTTTCCCAGGTTTTTCCTGGGAAAAATTCCCGAATTTGAGAAAAGTAAAGATTGGATTCACTCAGTCTATTGGTACTACTCCGAGACTGAATAAAATTTTCGTCAATTTCCTCATTTTCCGGCAGATTTTTTAGGTTTTCCACAGGAAACAATGAGACAAATTTTCTCATCGCTGAGTTCCTGTACTTTTGGCGATTATCAGTGAACTAAACTCAAATTTGGGTCGTTCTCATTCGCCGTGATCAAAATCTGCCGGAAACTGAGGAAGTTTGACGAATATTTTACTCAGTCTATGAGTAGTACCAATAGGCTGAGTAAATCCAATCTTTACTTTTGTAATATTCGGGAATTTGTTCCTGGACAAATCCAGAAAAACCTAGAAAAACTTGGATAAACATGAGGCAAATTTATTCATCGCTGAGTTCCTGCACTTTATGTGAATTATGAGTAATCTAAATTGTGAAAGTTTCTATAGAATGCAATACAAAATTTCGTTTCGTTTCGCTGTTGAACGCAAATCCCTAACCAGAGACCTAGAAGCTTCATCAAAGGTGGCGCACAAGGAAGAAGTGTTAGTTTCTTGCTAAAATGAACTATGCCAATTTTGTTATGGCAAGATTTGCTCTCGGTTTTGCTCGTGTTTATTAGCGAAATTCACATCAAATGTTGATTAATTGCGTATGAAATCGGTTTGGAGCGGCATTTGTGACCAGCATACACCTTCCGGTCGTATGAAACCGGTCAAAAACTGTCCAAATCCGCAAAAAAAAAATTGTTTTGAATTTCTGTATGGCAAAATAGTGATCTTTTCGTGAACATTAACGGCAAAGAACTCACCAACACTGCAAGACTGTGAGCTCCTGCCCACCTGTAATAAAACCACAACCGACATGAATAACCATACAAAGTACCATAAAATTTCTGATCAAAGCACAAAACTGACATCTGCCGCCGTGTTCGCGAAAAATGTGTATCCTAGCCACGAACACGCATACAAAATGTATGAGTTGGTTCGTGTCTAATCTATTCCGGGAAAATTATTTTTATCTAGATAACACTTTCTATGTTTTTGACAGATAGGATCGCTGCACATTTGAATCCGCCGTTATGGATTCTCGATTTTAAACTGATGTATAATATTTCAGCTATGAATTTGATTTATACGTGGCATCGGATAGCGGAAAACTATTAGCAAATCCGGGTGCAGTTCCTGTTTTTGGAGTGGTTGCGGATTTGAACGAGGGAATAGAGAATGAAATTTATGATGATGTAAAAGATTATAAAAGGCCTGACTTGATTGATGTTCTATACTTTTCAAACAGAAACTTAATAATAGTTATTCAATTCGCAAATATTCAATTTCATCATAAATCTCAACCCAACAAACAATCGCTTATTGAAGAAACGACTTCTTGACGATATTATTTTTAAACTGATTGCTTAAAAATACTTGTACAATTTTAAATATCACTTCTGTTCAGGCTTTGTTCACACAAATCTGGAGAATTTATTCAACCACAACATGGTGTTGGTTTAGGTATGTCGAGAAGCTTTTATTCGACTTCCATGAGATGTAACAGAGCTTATTAGATCATTTTTTTTTATTATTCAGCATTGTTGCATTTTTGCTTCCTTTAAACAGCGATTATCAGCAATGATTATCATGTGAAGTAAAAAAATAAATAGACAATATTATACATTTTTTAAACGATTATTTAACTACAGGATAATCGCCTGAAAATAATTAACGGAGTTGTCTTTTCTCTAATGATTGTTTTCATTATTTCTGACGAAGCACGTACCACACAGATATTGAAAATTTATTACATACATATACATGTCTGTTGCATGGGTTTCGAACCATGTACCTTCCCGATCACCAGCCGCTTGCCTTGCCATCTGAGCTATCCTAGAATACATCATATGAGCTGTTCAATATTCAATAAAAGCTTGCTTGAAACTGAATACCTATCTGCACTCCCGATAGTCCCAAGGTCCAGAAGGAATCATTAATTCATTCATCGTTGTTTGAGACCATGACATGAGAC